TACAGCAAGAGAAACAAGTGTGCTAATCCCCACGTGGAAACAGAGGCTGGGAGAAGCCAAGGGGTTTGTCTGAAGTCCCATGACCAGTTGTTGGTAGAGTGGGACTAAAATACAATTTTTTGCCTCTTTATCTGGTGCTCTTTCTAAGGCACGGGGCCAGTTCCAGCCCCTGTCTTCTCTGTCATGTGAAGTCAGGGCTGGCAGTTAATGGGACACACCAGGGAGGTGGAAGAGTCAGCACCCACCCTGCTTAACTGATGGCTGAACCATGCCAATCATTATTGATCCTGAATATCACCCAATCAGAGTTGTGGCTTTGTCTTCTAGAAATGCATCCTTTTCTTCCTTTTCCTACCTGGTTCGCCATTCTTACTCTTTTCCCTGTCAAATCACAAATTTCTTGCCCCCAAAGAATCACACTTTCTCTCTCTCCTTATATGTAAGATATAATTACAAATTACGGTCTAGTTGCTAACCTTGCTTCTTATTAATACCTACAAAGCTTTCTCTATGCCTCTAGTCAATACTAAGCCTCTCTCCTTGCAGAAGGTAAGGCATTTAGTGGTTATAAATACTGCTGTATCTCATCTGTGACCACATCTCTTCTACAGTTAAAACTGCCAGAATGTTAACATAGAATTTCAAAAGATTAAGATATACAATTACATTCCATTTCAATGGTTTGTACGTTGCTGCAGATATTTGTTTCTGCTCGTAATTACTAACCTACTACCTGATTTTTTTCTTTCCTCTGAGGTTATAACGAGAAGTTAGAAAGACGGACAGGAAGATTAAGAAAGGGGTGGGTGGTGAAAAATGTAATACAGAAGAACAGCTTTGTGAAAATAAGAAAGATTTCAACCTGTTATTTATTGGGAAATGTCTCATATCATAACTGGTCAACACTGCTCATGTTCTAAAGGTACAATGGTCTCTAATTTGTACAGAGGTAGTCTGTCAAACCTACTTTAAAAGGTTTAGGGAATAATCTTATTTTGATCATGTTTTGATGACTTTAAGGCAATTCTGCATTCTGCATTCTGTGCTGTTGGAAAACCCTGCTGAACGTGCCACATCCTTTGGTTTCAGTTGGTTCTCAGGGCTTCTTGCCAAAGAGTCATGCACTGTAGAAGGAAGCTCAAGGGCCCCGGGGTCAGAAAGGCATGGGGTTGAGGCCCTTAGTAAATCACTTAAACTCTCTGAGCCTGTTTCCTCATCTGTAACATAGTGAAAATAATCTCCATCTCGTTAAGGTCATTGAGAACATTAAGTGAAACAATATATGTAAGATTTCTGATTCTCAAACTACTGTAGCTCCTACTGAGATCCATTTAATAGAAAGCAGAATTCTCCTAGGTTTCTTAAAGAATGTGTCTAATGCAGTTTGCATTCATCAATTTTTTTCAAAAAAAAAAAAAGCAATTTAATCAATATCTTTAAAAAAGAAAAGGGCCGGGTGAGGTGGCTCATGCCTGTAATTCTAGCACTTTGGGAGGCCGAAGTGGGTGGATCACAAAATCAGGAGATCGAGACCATCCTGGCTAACATGGTGAAACCCCGTCTCTACTAAGAATACAAAAAAAATTAGCTGGGCGTGGTGGCGGGCACCTGTAGTCCCAGCTACTCAGGAGGCTGAGGCAGGAGAATGGCGCAAACCCAGGAGGTGGAGCTGCAGTGAGCCGAGATCGTGCCACTGCACTCCAGCCTGGGTGACAGAGCAAGATTCCATCTCAAAAAAAAAAAAGAAAGAAAGAAAGAAAAAGAAAGGAAGGAGGGAAAAAAGTGAATACTCTTTCTATTCCTTTCCTTCCCTTGCACACATCACTTTACACTCCTACCTTGCACTGGCAGTATTGCTTTACACTAAAAACACCTCAAATGCTGAGACTGTGTCTCACTTCTGGTCCTCCTAAAACTAGCAGAGTGCCTAGCATGGAATATGCACTTCATATGCACTTGCTATTTTTCTTCTTGATGGGCAACCACTACCAGAAAAGTTAAATCTCAGGGCTGTTGTTAGTGGATGTTCTCCCTTTCGATAGGGTTCTGCCTGTGATTTTGACAAAGTCTGCATTGATGCTACCGAAAATGGGATGAAAGGGAGATCCAAGTTTTCAAAGTAAATAGAGGCAAAGAGCAGCAAGAATATGAAAAACAACTGGGACATTTACACAGAGTCCAGGTATCACTCTACAGATTGATTATTATTTTCAAAGTGATAAATGAATCTGTACAGTGGAAAGACTCACCAATCACTCACTCAACCAAATGATTAAACTTAACATCACTAATGAACAGCAAGGTGCATGTAATATAAAACATCCAGCATTGCCTCTGACATAGTCAGACCAAAAATATTTTGTCTGAATTTAATCAAGCCTCTAGATTGAACTTCTAGTATACAAGAAATATAGGGAATGGAGGATCAAGGTAAGTCGCACCATGAGGAAATGATCATCTAGAATGTGGAACATTAGCCTTGCCCCTTCAAAAAGTCTATGCCATGGTAAAAGAAAAATGCTGAGGCACAGTTCTGGATTACAGAAGGCTAAAGTGGCTAACAGTCAAATGCAATGCATGAATGAATCTTGATTAGTTCCTCATTTTAAAAAAATATTATTATTAGCCTGGGAAACATGATGAAACTGTGTCTTCACAAAAAATTAGCTGGGCATGATGGCACAGGTCTATAGTCCCAGCTACTTGAGAGGCTGAAGTGGGAGGATTGCTTGAGTCTGGGAGGCAGAAGTTGCAATGAGCTGAGATTGTGCCACTGCACTCCAGCCTGGGTGAAAGAAAGACCCTGTCTCAATCAATCAATCAATATAAAAGACTTTCAGAGGACAATTGAGGAAATTTGAATAGGCCTGAATATTTAATGATATTAGGGAATGATTATGAACTTTCTTAGGATGTCGATGTTCCTTCAGTTATGTAAAAGAACACCCTCATTTTTAGAAGATGCCCTAGCAGTGTCTGCAATTACTTTTAGAGGGCTTAGCCTCCCATCCCCCAAAATATATTTCTATACATACATACACTCACACACAGGTTGATAAAGCAAGCATGACAAAATAAACAATCATTGGGTCTACATGGTAGGTATACTGGTGCTTATTGTACTATTGTTTCAACTTTTCTGTGTGTTTAAAATTTTGTCTTAATAAATCTTAGAAAACACGAAGGCAAGGTAACAAGTAAGTTATTCTTCTCTACCCAGAAAGGAAATTCCTTTCTCTTGCAGGTAGTAATAAAAATAAGTTATAAAACTCTTTTTCTGACCCATTGAACCAGTTAGTGGGGATTACTGAGGACTCAAACACCCCTCTATAACAGCTTTTGGGGACAGTAACTGTACTGAGGACAAAGCATAGCCCTCTTATATTGGATATCATTTACACTGTCCTTTGAAATATTACTATTCCCAAATCAAGGGTCCTATCAGCACATCACTAATAAACTGCTAAATATAGCTAGTATTTGTTTATGTACCATTTTAATTTTTTAGGAGATGGGGTCTCACTATGTTTCCCAGGCTGGTCTCATGCCCCTGGGTTCAAGCAGTCCTCCTGCCTCAGCTTCTTCAGTAGCTTGGACTACAGGCACACACCACCACACCCGGCTTCCATTTCAGTTTTTTTCAGTAAAGTAAAATGCTTTAGCTTGTTTAGTTTGCACTCCAATAGAGAAACAGAAAAACAAAAATCTCATCTGGTATGACAGCCACTGATCCTTCTTATGGGTTTAAACCCATCCCTTGGAAGTTCAGTTTTGAAGAACAAGCTACTACAGGGAAGTACTGACAACCTCGAATGTCTAGGATATAAGTTTTCATACCCTCCGCAACTGCTGCCTGGCCTAACAGGAGCCCCCTGTACTTAACTCAAGCACCCCGTCCACTGATGCTGACTTATGCAAGTCAACACAACAAATCCCAGAGCCACAGCTTTTCAGAAAAATAGGAATGGATTCTTCTCCCAAGTTCATACAATTGAGGGTTTTTGACAGCAATAAAAATAGCTTTGGATAAACCTTATAACCTGTGGTGTTGCTTCTTCATAAAGATAAGCCAGTCATTTGACATTATTCAAATTTTTGTTGTTGTTTTTAGACAGTGGTGCAGGTGACATATTAAAAAAAAAAAAAACAGGTATGAATCCCAGCGCTTTGGGAGACCAAGGAGGGTGGATCACCTGAAGTCAAGAGTTCAAGACCAGCCTGACCAACATGGTGAAACCCCATCTCTACAAAAATACAAAAATCAGCCAGGCATGATGGATACCTGTGATCCCAGCTACTCAGGAGGCTGAGGCAGGAGAATCGTTTGAACTGGGGAGGCAGAGGTTGCAGTGAGCCGAGATTATGCCATTGCACTCCAGCCTGGGTGACAGAACGAGACTGCGTCTTAAAAAAAAAAAAAGAAAGAAAGAAAGAAAGAAAGAAAGAAAGAAAGAAAGAAAGAAAGAAAGAAAGAAAGAAAGAAAGAAAGAAAAGAAAAGAAAAGAAAGAAAGAAAAAGAAATACAGGTATAAAGGCAATAAAGCATGATATATGTAGTCTGGCCACGCCACCATCCCTGCTGCTCTGGACAGAAATCAGAAGCAGCAGTAGAAAGAAGCAGAAAATCATTCAAAACTTTACACACAAGGTACTGCTATTCCTTCCTCAACAAGTGTATTAGAATATAAACTTGACAAATTGGAGCTTTTCCATAGGTAGGTAGCAACAGAGAGAAGCATCACCCCACAGTTTAAAGTTTATGTTACTTGGGAAAAGACAAACATGAAGTATGAGTCTGAAAATTAGTTTCAAGAACTCTCAACTAACTGATTCTCTCCCAAACTGAAAACACACCACAGCAAGGCTAAAACATAAAATAAAGTGAACTTTAATCTATAATATATATGAAAATGTGAAAGAAAATGCTTCCTTTTGATTTTTATAAGGAAAGTAAGTTTCAGTGTGAGTGAAACATATCTGAGAGAACAGGAAAGTCTTACCTAGGTACAAAGAGGAGTTCTCTTTCTTGACATTGTCATCTAAGTAGGTTGGTCCCAGGGTATAAATAGGTGTGGAGCCCATTCCAATGAGAATCTGTGCGCAAATGAATAAAGCCACGTAGACCCAGTGATTATTTCCTCCCGAGTCCTTCGGACAGGCCGGGGGCTCCAAAGTGGCGGTGGAGTTGCCACCCTGACACAGGCCGTCGTTGGGGGCCGAGGCGTTCAACTCTTGGATCTGGTAGGGGGGCGAGATGAAGTGAGGTAAGGCGAAGAGGGCTGCCCCGAAAGCGATGAGGAGTCCACCCACGGCCAGCCACAGGGGCCGCCGACCCCGGCCGCCGAAGTAGCTGACGAACACCACCACCACCAGGTTCCCGATGTCGAAGCAGCTGACCAGCAGCCCTGACTCGGAACTCTTCAGACTGTAGCGCCTTTCAATGGTGGTAATTACGCTGCTCAAGTACCCAGAGACCATCAACGCCTGGATGAAGGTCAGAAAGCACATGCACACCAAGAAGCAACGGGAATCCGTGAGGACCACGTAGAGGCACCTTCTCTCCTGGAGCGTGGCCAGGGCGGAGGACACCGAGAAAGTTTTGCTGAGGTCCACCCTGTGGTTACAGTCCCCGAGCCCCGCCGAAGTGGACGGCGCAGAGGGACTGGGGGCCAACTGGTTCGGGCCTTGCTTCAAGTCCTCGTGGCCAGAAGAACCCGCACAGCCAAAGGCCGGCTTGGCGTCTCCACTAGTGGGACTGAGGCTCGGCCGGCAGGAGGCGCTGCTGAGGACCGGTAAACTCTTAGACCTGAAGGTCTCTGGCTCGCACCTCTCTTGGACAGCTCCTGCGGTAGCCGGCGCCTCCAGCTGCTCTCCTGGCCCGGGCTGTAGTCCAGTGCCTTCGTCCATGGCGCTTACAATTCAGATTCGATAGCTGATGGCACCCAAGCACTCCGGCACGTTTCATCCACCGGCACGAGGGGCCGAAGCCAGGCCCACTCAGTCTTGCCCACCTGGGACTGGGGCTGGGGGCGCAGGGCCGCGCAGCAGGGCATCCTCACCAGCTGGAAGGCGCCCAGTGCATCCTGATCAGAGATGAGACTCCAAGGCTCAGCAGCCGCGTGCCACTGGGGGTAGGGGTCCACGCGGTCCTGTGATGAGCCCTGCTCGGCGTCCCTCTCCGGGAGGTAGCTTGAGGCAGGCGTCTCGCGCGTCCTGGGCTCATCCCTTCCGCCGCCGCCGCCGCCGCCGCTCGGCCCGCGGCCAGGAGCGAGTGCACCCCGCGCCGGGCGTGGGGGGCACTTAGCGCTGCTGTCCGCACCGCATCCCACCTCGCTGCGCCAGGGGTACCGGGTCCTCGCTGCGTGGGCTCGCGGCACCCTCGGGAGTGAAGCTGCCAACCTGCAAGGCAGAGAGAGGGCGGTCAGCGAAGAGTAGCTGCGACTTGGGGCTAGCGTCCCAGCGCCCCGGGGACCAGCGTTGGGCGACCCTGAACGGTCCCTAGAGGAACGGAGGAGTGAGCTGGGAGCGGAGCCCCGAAGGACTAGGCAGCAGCCGGTTGCAGTCTCTAGTCCGGGAACAATAAGCAGCAGGCGGTCGGCGGAGACTCTACCTCATTGTCTGCCGGGGACCTGCCCCCGCCCCGCCCCTTTTGCCTTAAACATTGCGTTTGCTTTTATATGTTAATAATTATCAACCTGGCAGCTCTGACTCAGAGGCAGTGTGTTTTATTCGAGTGAACTAATTGCAACCTTTTCGTACTCCTACTCCATTACTCAAAATAGAAAATGCCCAAAAGAACAAAGGAAACTTTTTCACAGACACACAATGTACTCCCTGTCCCAATTTTTTATAAAAGGAAAAAAGAGGGTGGGGGTAAACTACGTGTGTAGAAATGTGTGTGCACACTGGTGTGCGCTGGCACGTGTGCGCGACTAGATTTGAATCTGCTCCACCACAGACACGCATTCAAAGCCGAAGGCAGCAGCAAAAAGGTCAACATGCTTGCCTCTTTATTCCCAACACCAAAAATAACCCCCTGCCCGAAAGAACTCTTCAATTACAAATACCAGGGGCATTCGAGGCTGTGGACCGCACTAAGTCCCAGAGCGCTGTATCAAACGAAACCGAAAATCCGTCTGCTTTGCCGAGAGCTAGGGAAGCCACAACCAAACAAAGAGATCCCGGCACGCTGTCAGAGCGCGCGCGAGGAGCCCACGGAGCGGGCTGGGCGCACGCCGGCCGGCGGGGAGGTGTGCTATTGACTGAGCGCACCCCGCGAGCGTGGGCCTGGGGAGCGTGCGCGCGTGCGCGGTCACACACACACACGCACACACACAGACACACACACCCTGGCGTGTTGGAACCGCTCTCGCGATCCCGCACCCAGCTTGAATTCAGCGAGAATTGAAAACAGGTGTGCCCCCGGGGTAAGCCCCCGCCCCTAATCTTGGGGACCCCCACTCCATTCCTCCAGCCTGGAGCGAGGACGGGGGTCAGAATATGCACCAGGTGGAAGAGAGCCGAGCTTCACTACACTGGGTTTCATTTTGCGGCGCGCCTTTGTGATGCTGCTGAGAAAAGAAAGCAGGAAGGGCAAGGGAGAAAGGCAGAGAGGCTGGGCGGCCAAGGGTGGCCTCTCCGGCATCTCCCTCGGCTGTGCTGGGCCAAACCCTCTCCCAGATTCCCGGCCTGCCAGCCACTCACAATCCCGGGCTTCCCCGCCGCTGCCTTGCCCAGGCGCCTTCCCGGGGAACCCCACCAGCCGCTGCGTGAGGAGCCGGGGAATCCCAGCAAACTCTCGCCACGCGCTGGGGGCGTCCGAACCCCCTGCCTGCGCGAGCGCCCTCACAGTGGCGCAGACTTGGATGGACACGCGGATCCCGGCAGGGAGCTCTTGAGCAGGCGTGGAATCCCAGGGACACCCCCTGCGCGCACATCACACACACGCACACCCTCCACACACACGCGCACACACACACATACACACACACACACAGCCCGTGGGAGGACAAGGCCGCCGGCGACAGCCCGCCGCGCTGCCCGGGCGCTCAAGCCGCGGCTACTCACTAGCGAGTCTGTCAGTCTGTCTGCCTGGCTGAGTGGAGCGGCGGGAGGGGGGCACTGAGCTACGGGAATAGTTGGGAGCCGCGTGGGGAGGCAGCCTCGGTCCAGCCGAAGAGAAATCAGTGAATGAGGCTGTGACTCAGACTGAACTCTTCCCCCCACCCCTCGCCTGTCACCCAAGCCTCTCCTCGGCTCCAAACAGACACACGCGCACAGAGACGCGCCCGGAGAGAAGCAGCCGAGGGCGAGGGCGCAGGCGCGAGGGCAGCCACCCAGCCGAGCCCTCCCACAGCCAGCCACCCCGCTGCCCTTCACCTGCGCGGCCGCAGGGGCCGAGGAACGCTGAAGCCCGGAGGGGTCCGGTCTCTAGAAAAGTCAGCGGCTGAGGCTGACAGCCCACTCTGAATAAATAAATCATTTCTGATTGTTTATTTCGTGCCTTGGGCATCCACCGTGTCTCATTCACCATAGTAGGTTCTGGGACCAAAGATAAACAACACAAGATATTTGGTAGGAAGAAAACTCTGACTTGTGGGGAAAATACTCATGTAAATGGCTTAAAACAACGTAGTACATTCTATGCAGCCTGCTACTGGAGAAGCCAGCATCCATTAGCCTTCATTTCCACGCAGCAGGAAGAAGAGAGGCACCGGGGCATGGTGCTGCCGGTCAATAGGTAGATGAGCTGCCGGGAAGATTGCAGGGATGGGGCAGAGGACCAGACTGCAGGAGTGGCTGAGTAGGAAAGGACACCACGGGTTTCCTAAGTTGTGTACTGTCAATACTGTGGAGGCAGTGATGTTCCGACTTCCTCACCAGAGAGCTGGCACTGGCAGTGACAGGTAGACAGATGTGAGGCCACACCGCAGGCACAGAAGTGGGTTGGGAGGCAGTCTGAAAGCCAAATGTGATGAGGCATTGGCAGGGGGCATGGAGAGGAGGGAACTGGGCAGCTGATGCAATCTGCAAGAGGAGAAAACAGGCCAAGGTAGGATGACTCCCAAGTTTCTAGCACCAAGTTGGGTGACTAGGTGCCTGGCAGCCAATAAAAGCACAGGGGGAGAAACATGCTTGAGGGGAAAGATGGTTCTCATCTACATGTGTTGAGTTTGAAATGTTTGGGGGACATCCTGGTGTACATGTCCCATAAGCCATTGGACACACAGGAGGTTCGGACTAGGAATATTGACCAGTAGTCATCAGCCCAAAGGTGGTACAAGAAAGGGTGGAATGAATAGGGAAGATCATTCAAATTGTGAAGAGATCTAGGAGAAGAGGGAACAGCCAAAAGAGGGAGACTGGAAGCAAGGTTAGAGAGGTATGGGACACATCAGAAAAGCCAAAAGAGCAGACAACTGTAAGAAGGGAAGTGTCAGATGTGCACAGACTGCAGGGAAGACAAACAGGATGATAACTGAAAAAAAAAGAGTATCTGAGGGCACTGGTGACCACTGACAGAGTAGGATAATGCTCTAATGGAGGAAAGGAGGTTGCTCACAAGTATCAGTGACAATGCTGGCCACTGCTGCCAAGTCGAGGCCCCTCCACTGGCCCTTGGCCTTACCCAATGAGAGCATTGTCTCCATTTTACAGATGTGACAAGTGTAGAGAGGTTAAGTAACTTTATATAGGCACACAGCTAGTCTGTAGACAATATGAACCAATGTGCTCCAAAAGACCATATTCTTACTTAACCTCTTAACCCTGACTCTCTTCTTTCTCTCCTGTCATTGAACAGCATCCTGACTCATCAATGCACCTTGATTCTGTTGATTATCTCCCTTTAGTCCAACAACCATCTTATCTACAGCGATCCTTAGAGAACAATTAAGGCCAGCTGACAGTAAAGAACACTCAGTGTGTACTTGAAGTCCATGCTGAGACAGCATCCGTCTTCTGGCAGCTGCAAGACTGACCTATCAACCGAGGCATTTCTTCATTCCCTGCCATTGTCTCCTTCTCTTGAGATCACCATCAGACCCAGTCACTTTTCTACAAGCAGGCAATAGGACTCCTGCTGCCACCCTGCCCAGATTTTAGTCTTCTGCTGATAAAGTGGGCAAAGATATGTGGCATTTCCTGAACCTAAATACTCTTCTGAGCTCATTCTAAATCCAAACAGAATCAACCTACCTCCTATTACCTCCTTCCAAGCTCTGTGCCCTATTCTCTCATTTCAGTCTCAGCTCCAGATATCAGTAAATTCAATGTGATGCATCAGGTGCCATCGCAAGACTTCCCTACTTGAAAATCAAGCAATCATGTCCCTGAAACACACTGTCTTTATTCATGGTCAATTACCACAGTTAAAGTAGATGCAACTCTAAGAACCTATGGATTTTTTTATTGCCACTAATAGAAAGGTCATGATTTACAGACAAAATTTTTGAAGTTCCGATTTTACTCACATGAGAAACAAGAAGAAAACATTCAGCAAGAAGCATTTCTTTTGCTTTATCGTTTCCAGTTAAATATGACTTTAAAAAAGACAAAATTTTAAAAGGTCTGATTTTACTCACATATGAAACAAGAAAAAAACATTCAGCAAGAAGCATTTCTTTTGCTTTATCTTTCCCAATTAAATATGACTTTGAAAAAGACTAACACTCCTCATTAGCCCTAATTGTCTGATTAATACAAAGAAACGGACTCATATCATGGGGTTCCACTACCCCTAAGATAGTGTTTACTACCCTTATTTCACTCAATGTTTACAGTTAGTTTGACCAGAATGCTTGCCTTATTTGACATTTTGGGAGAGGAAGCATGTGACTGTAAACCCTCTTCAAACTTTCAGACTTAACATTTACTTCTTCCAAGTCCATCAAATTTGTACATAAATGACTTCTTTTCTGATCTTCTTATAACAAGTATGTAGCCTTTGGAATTTCCAGGGCAGTCTACAGATTTAAAATCTGGCCGTCCTGGAGAATGGGCAGAAGAAAGCTGAAGAGAGCCTTTTCCCACCGCCCTTCCCTTCCTTCTTAAAGAAGGTTCACTTCAGAGGTCTCCCAGATACAACAAGAACCGAGTTTTTGGTTCAGAATATTTTGTAGGTGCAAAACATAATACATAGTTGCCAGTACCATAATTGAATTAGGTGTTGGTTGTTGAACAGGAAACACACTGGATCTTTAAGGTAGCCCCTTAATAGGACTTGGCATGTATACCCTTCCTTAGAAGTGAATTTCAGGTTGGATAAAACCTGAGGAGGAACAGATCTGGCCAAATGAATGCAGGCCATCACTCCAACCCTGGTGGCTTGAGGGCCCTGCAAGTGCTAAAGGAGTATAGTGACCAGCTGTGTCCAAAGAGACTTAGCACTGCAAGTCCCACACCACAGGAAACCACAGTTCCATGAACACCTGGAGGCTTGGCTCCCTGTAAAGAAACTGCCACCTCCCTTAATATAATTAAGCCAGATTAGCTGAGTACTGTGGCTCACATCTGTAACCCCAGCACTTTAAGAGGCTGAGATGGGAGGATCCCTTGAGAACACATTTCTACTAAAAAATGTTTAAATAGCCAGGCATGGTGGCATGTGCCTGTGGTCTCAGCAACTCAGGAGGCTGAGGCAAAAGGATCACTTAAGCCCCGGAGGTAGAGGCTGCAGTACGCTGTGATTGCATCACTGCCCTCCAGCCTGGGCAACAGAGCAAGACTCTGTCTCAAAAAATAAACAAACAAAAACCAACAACAACAAAAAATAATTAAGCCAGGCTGGATGCAGTGGCTCACGCCTGTAATCCCAACACTTTGGGAGGCTGAGGCAGGCAGATCACCTGAGATCAGGAGTTTGAGACCAGCCTGACCAACATGGAGAAACCCCGTCTCTACTAAAAATACAAAATTAGCTGGACATGGTAGCACATGCCTGTAATCCTACTCGGGAGGCTGAGGCAGGAGAATCGCTTGAACCGGGTAGACAGAGGTCGTGGTGAGCCGAGATTGCACCATTGCACTCCAACCTGGGTAACAAGAATGAAACTCCATCTCAAAAATAATAATAATAATGATAATTAAGCCAGATACTCCAAGGCTAGTAATGGAGGGAAACTTCCCTGTGAAGAGGAGACAGTTGTCTCAAAAAAATCATGTTCCCTTGAAAGATGTTTCATAATTACCACCACTGCCACCTTGGCCTGGAAAAGAAAGAGGTCGGATGGGAAGGGGAAGGAAGCAAGTTAGGAGAGAGGCAGTCCTCCATGGGCTGTGAGCATCTCTACATGTTTTTCTTGGGTGCACCTAGAACGCAAAGCCCTAACCACTTCTGAATGCGGAAAAACTCAAACTGCGTTGTCCTCTGCTCTCATACTACAACAATCAACACAGAAGACTTCTGTGACCAGATGTTGGCGGGGAGTCTGCACCAACAAATAAGCAATCAGTTCTGCAGCAGACACCAGCTGGGCGTCCTCCAATTCAAGTCCGTTCTGACACTATCTACCTCAAGACGGCATCAGATCCCACACGTTGAGGGCTGAGTCCCACAAAACTGCCTCCTCTCTCCCCTAGACACCAGCGTCGAGCCTGGGCCTCCGAAACGTCTGACCAACTAGCTTCAATTTGGTATTCCCACAACCCCTTTTTGGGTTTGATTAATTTGCTGGACAGCCTCACAGAACTCAGAGAAACGCTTACGTTTACCAGTTTAATACAAAGGATATCGGAAAGAACACAGATGAAGAGGCACACAGGGGGAGGTATGTGGGGAGGCGCACAGAACTGCCATACTTGCTCTAGGTACACCACCCCTCGGAAACCTCCACATGTTCAGTTGTCCCAGAAGCTCTCTGAACCCTGTCCTCCTGGGCCTTTTTTGGAGACTTCCTTGGATAGACATGCCTGAAGACAACCACATCAGACGGTGACTGGACAAAAAGCAGATGATCTAATACTGATAGACTGAGTGGGGAAACCCAGGAGGGCCTGTCT